TAAATGTTAATGTTTGTTAGGAATCGAACCCCCGACGTGTGGGACTGTTCTACACGGCTCCGCTCTGATGGCCTCGAACCGTTCCACAAAAGAAAGGAAATCGAAAAAAAAATTTGAGATGCCGGTATTCGAACACCGCACTGTGCAAATGTTACAGACGTTCGATCGCACTGTGCGCTGTGCGGTACGCCCTACCCTGTCGCGCACCGAACGCGTGCATTGAGAATACTTTGCTCTTCCCACACTTGTAAAACCGAAGCGAAATCGTACGCTTCATTCCAGCAAACAGCCACGCTTGACACGAAAAGTTGTACCGTCAAGATGGCCTGTATTATGGTGACATTGTCTATATCAGTGGTTCTCAACCTTAGGGTCGCGACCCCACTTGGGGTCGCGAAAAAATTTTAAGGGGTCGCGGCGAGGTAGCTGGGGTCGTGTTTTGGGCCGATTTTAAGCAGCCACTGCGTCTGATCCGAGGCGGGCATTTTGCTCCCTCAACCGGCAATTGGTCTTTGAACCTTCCTTTAGCATTCATTTGTTACGGAGTGTGATTATCAGTCTTAGTTTGGGAGCAGTATTGTCTCAAAGTTTACCAAAACGGTCAGAAATGTCTTTGAAAAATCGTGTTTTGGGCCGATTTTAAGCAGCCACTGCGTCTAATCCGAGGCGGTATTTCGTCCTCCTTCAACAGGCAATTGGTCTTTGGACCTTCTTTTAGCATGCCTTTGTTACGGAGTGTGATTATCGGTCTTAGTTTGGGAGCAGTATTGTCTCAAAGTTGGCCGAAACGCTCAGAAATGTCTTTGAAAAATCGTTGTGCCTGTTTTGGTCAACTTTGAGACAATACTGCTCCCAAACGAAGACTGATAATCGCATTCCGTAACAGAGGCATGCTAAAGGAAGGTCCAAGGAACAATTGCCCGTTGAGGGAGCAAAATGCCCGCCTTGGATCAGACGCAGTGGCTGCTTAAAATCGACCCAAAACATGATTTTTTAAAGACATTTCTGAGCGTTTTGGCCAACTTCGAGACGATACTGCTCCCAAACTAAGACTGATAATCGCACTCCGTAACAGAGGCATGCTAAAGGAAGGTCCAAAGACCAATTGCCCGTCGAGGGAGCAAAATGCCCGCCTCGGATCAGACGCAGTGGCATGCTAAAGGAGGGGTCCCGTGGGGTCGCGAAACTTTTCCTGGAGGTCGCGGAAATTTTTGGCTACAAATTTGGGGTCGCGAGCCGAGAAAGGTTGAGAACCGCTGGTCTATATTATGGTGGTGCAGCTGAGATAAACATTGTACCATTGAGAATTCACTGTACCTTATAGATATTTTGACAAATTTCGCTTGCATTATGGACAAAATCTTCACCACAATGTATGTTGGTACTTCGGAGAAGAGCTAGACCGGAAGTTAAGAAGAAATCAAGAAGAAGACGCGCCGGACGTGTATGAGAATGTAACTCTGCGGAAGCGGCAGAACGGCGACGCAGACGCTCATTCTTACACATTTCGTATACTTCGTTCTTCTTGATTTCTTCTCAACTTCCGCTCCAGCTCTTCTCTGAAGTACCGTATTACGCGAGTTTGACATACAGCCATATGCCAAATTGTGGTTAGTGGAACACAACTCCGCAAATGCCACACTGACCAAAAAATGACATGTTAAGAAGGACGGAGTCCACAAGTTCCAGAAGTGGCCTTAACAAACTGTATACTTGACTTCTCTCTGTTTTGTTCCACTTGTGGCGCCTGGAAGGTAGGCAACCCACAACACCGTATGGCCTATAAACTTCTTAGGAAAACACCACTGCTTCCACCATAAGACACTTAGTGTGAAAAACTTCAGGCTTGAAGTCAAGCGTAGAGAAGAAATTTTTCTTCCGTTTTCTCCTCTACATTTGGGTAGGCGGGTCCCGCTGAGGACTACCAGCCCATGTGGCATGTGAAGCCAACCCCTAACTTGAAACTTGAAACTGAGGGGTTGAAACGGAAAACTACGCCTGAAGCCCAGGCTCGCAACCACCAAGCTTGAATACAGGCGTAAAAGTACACGGCAAAAAGGTTCCTGGGCTTCCCAGAAAGCCATTGGTAAAAGACATAAGCGATTTCCAGGGACCATGCAGTGTACGCTTCAGTTCCACAAAGCAGTCATTTGTCCCAATTTGTAAAGTCTTCAAGTCACTCGAACCAACACGCACTGGTCGTACGCCTCCCGGCCCCCTCGGCGTGTACACTGCCCGAAACGGGGGCCGCAGGCAGTAATTAATTGAATGGGCCAATCAAACAGGCCGAACGAACGAGTTTGCACAAGCTCCCTAAGAGGCGGGACTTGTGTTGCTGTCCAGCGCCTGTTGGGCATCGGAGGTCGAAGGCGGAGGGGGGGCTGGGGGGCTGGCTGCTGGCTGGGTCCAGACAGACACAGCTCCGTCGCTCCGTCTTTCTCTCACACCCTCCCGTACCCGTGAGTGCGAGAGAGACGCGGCGACAAAACGACTCGCTTCGGAGTCGTTGGCGTCTGACTCCGCGCTGATCCCCGCATCCGGGGAGCTTCTCTTACTTGTTGGGATAAGAAGCCGGGCGTTCGTGCAAGGACTTGACTTATTGGGAAAAGGAGGGTGGGGGGTTGGGGCGTGGGGGCGCACCGAAAAAAGAAAACAACATTTCCTCTCGGATCGGTCAACATACCGTCAAAGTTCACTACACACTCGTACAAAAACTACTTGCCTGACTCAAGTTGGCTGCGTGACCACGCTTCAGTCAAAGCGCGAATTTAACACGACAGTATAAAAGGGGTTCCGGTTTTGTTGGCTTTTTCACGCGAGTGTGGTAGAAAGCGAAGTACCCTTTTCCGAGCTGCCCTTTCGCCGGCGCTGGTTTGAAATCGACACCTAAGGAAAAGGCACGCAGTAGCGGCCGCGCGATCCAAAAGGCGCTCAGTTGCGGCCCTGCGATCTGAAAGGCACGCAGTTTGCAGCGCGCGATCCAAAAGGCACTCAGTTTGCCCCGCGCGATCCAAAAGACAAGCAGTTTACCGCTGGCGGCCGGTAAACTGCGTGTCTTTTGGATCGCGAGGGGCAAACTGAGTGGCTTTTGGATCGCGCGCGGCATACTGCGTGCCTTTCAGATCGCAGGGCCGCAACTGAGCGCCTTTTGGATCGCGCGGCCGCTACTGCGTGCCTTTTCCTTACAGGTGTTGAAATTCTGTCTGACGCGGACCGCACACAGTGGGTCCAATCATTCCGGCCGGGCGTCCTCACCGCGCGGCGCGCCTCGAAACCCTCCAAACTACCAGAAGGGGAAAACAGGACGACTGCCCCGAAACTTTGAATCACTAAAATTATCAAAATAACGAAAAATTGCCAAAAAAAATTGACAAAATGTCCAAATTTTGCAAAAGTCACAAAAAATATAAGACTGCACGGCCGAAACCTTACGACTATGATTTTGAGCGTATGTAAGCTGCAAACTATTTCGTTAGTTATAGGAAGAAATAGTTTGTAAATTACGAAGTAGTTTCTTTGTTAGCTGGTGTGTACTCCGGAATACATTCGCTACTTTTCATTGTAAGGCCGAAAATAGTTTGTAAGGTTTTGAGAGTGTGACGCTGAAAAGTGTCTTCGAAATGATTCAAAATTTACAAACAATTATTTGCGGTCTACTCGGCGGTCTACCCGTCTTCGAGGGGCATCGCTTCGTTAGACGCTTCCCGCTGCTCCCGGGCGGTGAAGTCCTGCAGTTGCGGCAAGCAGGGCGGTCGGACAAAAGGTCTCGTTGAAGCTAAGGCAGTGAAGGCCGACGACGGAGGGGCGCTCCACGGCGCAGGGCGCAGGGCTCACAGGGTCAGCGGCGCAGTTGCCCTGTGCTTGGGAGGGGCCCTGGCTGGCTGGGCCTGGCCGGGCCCTATCCTATTTCCTGGCTTCCCTCGAAACCTATACCAGCCCTTGTAGGCCGATTGGTCTCCCTGCCATTCTGTGACCTTCTCCCACCGCGACGCGGCCCAAGCACAGCAAGGCGCAGCACGGCGCAGCGCATAGCCCACAGCGAGTCGTTCCAGCCGGACCCGCGGCCGCTCCAGGCCGCTCCAGGCCGCTCCAGGCCGCTCCAGGCCGCGCTCGCTGGAGAAGGTCGTGCTTCCTCCTTCCTTCTGCTCGGCCTGGAGCCTCGAAATCGGATAAACAAATGGCAATTGCGGAGGTAACAAAGAGGCGGGGTGGCTGCTGCGCCGCGGGGCGAGGCGGGGCGAGGCGGGGTGGGTCGGGGTGGGGCGGGGTGGGGCGGGGCGGGGCGGGGAGGGCCGGGGCAAGGCGTCGTCGCCGTGGAGCAGTCCCGTCCCCCCCATCCTCTTGCGAACAAGTTATCACCTCATTTTCTTTCGGCCTGCGCCGCGCCTCCCCCAAGCAGTGCCCGGAATAGTGCCCGCCCAGGCAGGGCTGGCTTTTCCTCCCCCGGCCCTGCCGGCCCCGCCGGCCTGGCCCCGCCCCGCCCCGCCCCGCCCCGCCCCGCCCCCAAAGTCATCCATCAGGGACTGGAAAAACATGAAGGCGGCCGGCGAGGAGGCCGGTCCGAGGCAGCGGCGCGCAGTTCCCGCACTTCAATACAAGGCCGGGCTCTTCCAGGATGACCGCCAAGCGCGAAGAACACCGCAGGGACCGCGTGGCGGCGGCACTTCGTTACGAGGAAACGGGCGGCAGACTGATGCCGAGAGTCGTTTTCGTCGCACTGTCTCTCTCGCACTCAAGGGGCTACCCGTACTGGTGCGAGAGAGACAGAGCGACGAAAGCGACTCTCGGAACCGGTCAGCAGGGTCGCCGCCAAGCAACGCACGCCCTGGCGGGATCGCCTTTGGAGGGAACCCTTCCCGCCAACGGCCGCGCCGAGCACCGCCGCGCGGGCAGGGCGCAGCCTTTCGTCGCTCTGTCTCTCTCGCACCCCTACGGGACGCCCCATGAGTGCGAGAGAGACAGAGCGACACAACAATCCCTGTGAATGCAGGGCTACTCACCGAGGACGCCGAGGCGGTAGTTGACGGTGACGACGACGACGCCGCCGTACGAGGCCAGCACGCTGCCGTCGTACACGTTGCCCGAGTTCCACTCGTAGGACTCGCCGTGGATGATGACGATCACGGGGGCGAGACGCACGTTCTCCCGCAGGCCGGCTGCAACATCGAGGACACGTCACGTCGCCGTCGAACTCGCAGGGACAGCGTCACAGTCGGACGCAAGGGTGGGGCAGGCCACGGAGAAGAAATACACCAGCCATTCCTGGCTCTGGGTGTAGACTTCCGTGTAATGCAGGGAACATGGTGTTCCGTGAAATTTCGAACGCATTTCTGGCGAGGAAATCCAGACGCCTGGTAGTACAAGTTGGTGCCACAGACAGAGCCTCCACGGAGACCCCGCCAGGCCGCGCCAGGCAAAGCGAGGCAGAAGGGGCCAGGCAGTCCGGCCTCGGTCTGCAGAAAACAATTGAAACTCGTTACCCTGAAGGAGCTGCCGGGCCCTGCCCACACACTAGTAGTTGGCGACAGTTAACGACTTTCAAATAGCGCGGCCTAGTCGAGGAGGGGCCCACGCCCCGCCACGCCACGCCACGCCGCGCCGCGCCACGCATTCGCAAACACGTACAATTAATTATTTTGCGGGGGTGGCGCGCCGGCGGGAGATGCACCAACCACCACCACACTGGGAGGGAATCGAGCCGTCGCGGCGGCAGCATCCAGACGAGCGATTCCGAAGATTCGTCCCGTCGCTCTGTCTCGCTCGCATTCACAGTGTGGGACCCACACGACCCCTGAGAACACTCCAAATTGAAAGGCGGTACAAATGTATCAAAAAAGGCGGTATTGAAATTACCGCCTTATACATGCCATCATTACCACCAATCAAAGGCGGTACTTTCATTTACCGCCACAACTATTCCATCAGTTATTAAAACATTGAATCAGTACCGCCAGTCAGAGGGAGTACCTAAATTACCGCCAAACACAAGCCATCAATACCGCTCATCAAAAGGCGGTTGTTTGATTTACCGCCTGCACTGTACCATTGTGGTCAGATATAAATGTCTCGCTGAATCCAAAATTGTTAATATATCCTAGGTGATGTGTGGATTCATGGCAGATTGGATAAGTTACTAGATTATGATTGCACACAAAATCAATAGAAAACTTTTCTAATTACCGGTGTAGGTTGTCAGGCCCACTGGGGACTCTTAAGAGAAACGACAGTTGTGACGCTCATAAACTGAGAGGTCCATACTTGCATAGCATAGCCGCTGTCATTCAGTTTTCTTGAAGTCAGATGTACTCACATGAATCATGATTGAGTGCACAGCAGTGAAACTGCTGCTCAGAAGATAAATATGGCAAACAGGTCGAGTCACCCAAAACAGATAGCATCAAATCTTGAAGCTTTCTGCACTGGTAAACTGGGCTTGGTGCAGCACAGATGTGATAAACTTATGAAGTTTTGACAGTTTTCTCATTTTACACGCACTGTCACTGTAGCTTGGATGATAGCAAACAATCTTCGCCCACGCACGACACAGTTGGCAAAAGGTCGCCATCTCACAAAACCAGAGGAAACTTGATTATATTTATGGATATTGGACAAAAACACGAACCGACGGCAGCCCTTTGTCTATGATTTTCAGGTTAGTTCTGCTTTTGTTTTTGTAGGCCTCTAACTGCGAATACTGCCTATGTCGTGCGTACAGTCGACCCGTAACTGCCCATAAAAATATCAGATATTCGCAGTCACTCGTCGCGTCAACAAAACAAGTTGCAGAAAGAAAATGGCCGCCTGTAACTGTGCATGCATATCAATATTATTCAGTTTCTTCTAGTTTTGGGCAATGACGTCTGGTGCCAACGGGGTCCAGTGTGGGCGAGGATTGTTCTTTACCATGGAAGCAACTGTGAAACTGCGAGTGAAGTGGATTAACTGTAAAAATTTTATAGAAGTTCATCAACACAGTCTGTGGTCTGAGCTCCTGTGCTCTGGGCCCAGTTTAACAGTGTACAATGCTACATGTTTGAATACAAGCTTTATGAGTTACCTCAACATTTCTGCTAATTTCATCAAAGAAGCAGTGCCACAGTGATTAATGTGAGTACATCTGACTTCAGGAAACTGAATGTTAGCGGCTCTGCTAAGTGAACAAGGACCTCTTAGTTTAAAAACGGAAACAAAATTTACTGCTTGCAATAAGCGGTAATTATAATTCTTGCTTGCAATGTGGTACAACATTATGGTTTAGAGCGGTGTTATACATATATGACCACACTTCCCCGTATTGACAGTACAAAATGGTCTCCTGTCCATTGGCGGTAATATTTATTAGCGGTAATGAAAATTCCTTCTCTTAATTGGCGGTAACTTCATACCGCCATTCAAGTACCTCAAACTATTTTTTCTCCTGGCCTGATGATGCACCGCCTTTTTGTGGCAGTAAAACTATACCGCCTTCCCAAAGGCGGTAAAATCTGGAGCCCGCCTTTTAAAAAAGTACCGCCACAAAAGGGTGGAAATATTACCGCCTTTCAATTTGGAGTGAAAGCCTTATGAGTGCGACAGAGGCAGAGCGACGGCTTTTCGGAATCCGTCTGGCGTGCCGGCCGGACGCTACCTTCACCGCTCTCGCCGCAGCAGACTGATTCAGAATGGTCGTTTGGGCGCCGTCTCTCTCTCTCTCTCTCTCTCTCTCTCTCTCTCTCTCTCTCTCTCTCTCTCTCTCTCTCTCTCTCTCTCTCTCTCTCTCTCACTCTCTCTGTCTCTCTCTCTGTCTCTCTCTCTCTCTCTCTCTCTCTCTCTCTCCACACACGGGCCGTTCCACAGGAGTGCGAGAGAGACAGAGCGACGAGAGCACGCAGTGTGGATGCACGCGGACAAAGGCCTCGCCGACCAGCTGACCGGGGCTCAGGCACGCTCAGGTGGAATCAGTCGGTGTATGCACTGTCAAAAACGCCAAGGGTTCAGCGCCACTGCAAAAACAAAAATGGAAAAAATAAATTGGGCCTTGTCGGGGAATTGACGCCTTCAGGGCCGCAGAAGGACGCTCGGTGCGACGACGGGGCGACGCTGGAATGCGTCAAAGACGTGGACGTCCAACTGAGACGAGCAAACAGCTGCAGACTGATTCCGAGAGTCGTTTTCGTCGCTCCGTCTCCCTCGCACTCGTGGGGCGTCCCTTACAGGTGCGAGAGAGACAGAGCGACGAAGACGACTCTCGGAATGAGTCTGCTGCGCAGCAGCAAGGGGCGGAGGGACGGCCGCAGGGGCCGCAGGCACGGCCAGGTGGTGGCGCCCCACGGAGGAGTTTGCCCAGAGTTCCCCGGAGGACTTCGCGTGTTGCCACAAGATGTCCAGATACGCAGTGTCTTATTACTGCCCAGGGCCCGGCCAGCCAGCAGCCACCACCAGGAGACGTCTGGTCGCTCCGTCTCTGTCGCACTCACGGGGCGTCCCGCAGGGGTGCGAGAGAGACAGAGCGACTCTTTGGGATCGCTCGGCAGACTACGGAGCGATGCTGCCCCGCGCTTACGCCCCGGCCTCGCCTCGCCAGCATAGGCCTAGGCACACATACACAGTAAATGCCTCACGGCCAAAGGCTGCACCAACATAATATGGTGGATATATTCTCCATAATACCAATGAAATTCGTCAAAATGTCTATAAGGTACAGTGAATTCTCAATGGTATGTTACGAAGTCAGCTGCCACCACCATAATATGGAACTTTTTCACCATAATATAGAGAATCTTCACTGTACAACATTTAGAGTGTAGGGTGAGTCAAGCGAGGGCCACGCGGACGTGTAAAATGCCCTCCTCGGACCGGAAAAAAATAAAATCGCAAAAAAAAAGACGGTGACTCGCGACGTGGTAGCGACTGACTACTGACTCACTCGGAGCAAACGCGCCGCCAGTGTGTCAGTCCGTTTATCCGTGCGACTCGTCGTGTTTACACTGGAAACTCGAGTTAGGGCGCCGCGAAAGCCTGGTGAGCTGCATCGCGCTCGTTCGCGCGCCATGTCGATGTCAGCATTAACCCTTCTCTCTCTCTCTCTCTCTCTCTCTCTCTCTCTCTCTCTCTCTCTCTCTCTCTCTCTCTCTCTCTCTCTCTCTCTCTCTCTCTCTTTTGTGATGATACCCGCAAGGCATATCAAAACAATAGCGGGAAGTGGGATAAGGAGAGGGGGGTGGGGGAGAGCTCGCATCAACATGACATCAGCAACACGAAAACGTCAACGAGGATGCACTTTTGGGCAGATGCTCTAGCATTCAAACGCCGTTGTTTTTGTGCGACGCGTTTCCATTCCCCCCCCCCCTCTCTCTCTCTCTCTCTCTCTCTCTCTCTCTCTCTCTCTCTCTCTGGCCGGGGGCAGTGAGACCGCACCGAGGTGCGAGTGCCCGGGATTTGGCAACACCACTGTGGACATTCCTTCTCATTTCCAACTGAAAGTAAAGCAGCACCCGAGTCCCCCCCCCTTCTCCCCCCCCCCTCCACTTTCGGCCACATAATCGTCGACAGTCACGCCATCCACCGCGTTCCGTCGTCGCATTTTTCCCAAAGTATTTTTCTTCCGTCAAAAAAGCAGCGGCGGCGGCAGCGTCCGCGCGGCTGGCGGCGAATTGCGTCAAGCAAACTTGTACAGCGAAAGCAGTTACTGCCGAAGTGCCTGTTATTTCAGTCAACACTGGAAAAAATTGAGTTCTCGCAATCCATTTGCCTCACATTGATGGAATGTGCTGTCGGCGGAGAGGATCCATCGATGAGAAACAAAAGGCACGCTTTAAAACCCAACGAAGTATTTGAAGCTTGTTGCAGGAACCATTAGTTCGTAAATTATGAAGTACTTTGTGAGCCTTTGTGTGATCAAATTACATTGTTGTAAACGAGCTCGGACTTCCTCCCATCCAGCCCTCCACACTGTAAATGTCTTACGGTGAAAGGCTTCACCGACATATTATGGTGGTGATTTTCTGCATAATACCAACGAAATTCGTCAAAATATCTATAGGGTAGCGTGAATTCTTAATGGCACGCTATGAAGTCAGCTGCACCCCCATAATATGGAGAATCTTCACCGTACAGCATTTGGAGTGCACGGGGAAGGAGCTGGCCAGGACAACGCACTGCAGGCCGCGCCCGGGAC